AAATCATGCTCAGAATAAAATCATGTATTCATGATGAAAAACAGAGCATCAATTGAAACAAATGCCATGTCCCAGCAGTCTGGGAATGTAGCGAGTCAGGATCGTAGGGAATTCTGGCAGTGCGCAGGCCGGTGCCAGGGAGGGAGGCTTTGGAGGCAGCCCCTGGAGAGGGCCGTGCAGTTGCAAATGTCTCTGCGCCTTCATGATGCTGCCTGACTGCCCTCAGTAGCTGTGAGACTGAGCATTTTGAACCAATAAACAGGATCAAAAATGAATATGTTTGGGGCTCTGTGCGTATAGTTCTATCATCTAATAAATCGTCTATGTAGGAGGGGAAAAACAAAACAATCAACCCCCTTTCCCCCAAAACCTGTGGTACCTTGCTAACTCAGTGCTGGAAGTATGTGTGAAGGACAAGGAGTGGAAGCAAAAGGATTCGTAGACTGCGGGAACTGGGGACGGCCCCCTAGAAGAGGTGGCATTTCAGGCCAAACCTGCCATGGGAATTCCTCCAGTAGGAAAGGCTAGAGGGGGCCAGGTGACACAGAGCCACCAGTGCTCAGGGTGCGCTCTTGGGAGGGCACGTGGAGTCTGAGGAAGGTGGAAAGGTGGAGGGGTATTCGGGATACACATTGAAGTGTTTTCGAGCTTTGCAGGTCAAATTGCCCAAGTCCCTAGATTGGCCACATGCCTGGCACTAGGTGATCTTGCTGCCTTAGTGACTGGCTACAACACGCAATGGCAAACCCTCGTTTTTTTGTTTTGTTTTTTTAATCCAAGCAGTTTTATCCTTTGCAGCTTCTTTACATTTATAGAACGTGGGGTGAATCTCCCTCTCAAAAAGCTAAAAGCCGTACGTGAAAGCTCACTGAGGTTTTAAAGAAATATCATTAGCTGACATTACGTGACTCGGTCAACGTCTGCGGCACAGGCAGGGCGGCTGTGGATGAGGGCGATCTCTGTTGATGAGGGCGATCCCTGCCTTCTCCCCAGACCCCAGGGGCGCACTGCTTTCTCACAGGGACTGTCGGTGGGAGCTGGTGGATGCACGCTCCGGGAAAACATCCTGTGTCCCGACATAATAGCACAGACACACTGGGCCCTTTTAAACCGAGCAAGTCATCGCTGACACTATGTAAAGGGCCTGTGAACTGAAGCCGTCTAGGCAACGGAGACCATGACCTTGGTTGCACCCCCTAGAGGGTGTCGTTACAATGCTGGCTGGCCCGGCTCTCTGTTCCCTCTTGCAAGTGGGGGCCAAGGGTTGTGTGTCTGTAATGTGTGGGGTTGAACTGGGATCACACGAGCAGGTGGAGACAGCTGTGGGCTGATGGAAGGGGAAATGCCCCCTCCTGGGCAACGGGAAGGGCTGCTGATCCCAGTCCAAGGGAACGAACTAGCGTTCTAGAGACCTTTGGGAAACAGGTGTCGTGGGCACAGCTACTTACCCAGGATTGGCGTGCCTTTTTTAGCAGCAGAATGCATTGAACAGACACCCTGCAGTACCTTCCCGAAGAAGGGAATCGGTAGACAGTGTCAAAATGCTACTGGTTAATCGTGGGGAAAACTGAAGGCTGGCTAGGTTTATGGGACTTGAAGAGAGTTATACAATGCGTTAGTGTCTGGCCTGGGAATGAAGTCTGAGTTTGCCGCTTGCTGTCAGGACTGCCGACAGCATTGTGTTTAGCATTGTACAATGCTGAAAGGGGCTTACTCTCAACAATGCAGGAACTGCTTTAGGAGACAAACACAATGAACTTGGGTACAGTATAGTCTAGAGGCCCAAATGAGTAATTTTAAGTAAATTGACTATGAGGTCCAAGACTTCATCGCATTTGGAAAGGGAAAGCAAAGAATCTGTACAGTTTTTAAGCACTGACTTGGAAAACGCGGACATTCCATCTTTTAAGCATATTCTTAAAAATTGCAGTTAGGTGGCTCAAACTCTGACAGGATGATGTATTTATCTCGGATTCTGCCTTCTAACAATTGTCCATCTAGCCCTCTGTGTTTTAGGAGTCGGCACACCTGATTTTCACAGCCTGTTGTTTTGGAGGGAGTCTTTTGTTTTATTCAAAATTAGTTGAAGTTCTTCCAGGAGAGCTGGCAATACAGAGCCTGGAATTCAAGGAAGAGGTTAGGAGGGAGTGGTCTGGTTGGGTGTCGGCCACCTACTCCAGTGTCCAAAGTGGGTGATACCGCGCCCTGGAGAAGTGCTAGAAGGAACCAGGAGGGTTGCAAAAGCAGATGTCTACATTTATCCCGGATTATGGACCACAGTACAAAAGTTTGTAATTGCCAGTGGAGAGCTAAGCAATATTTTTTTTTTTCCTGTTAAGGGGGCAGTAGGCCAAAGAAGCATGGGAACCTATAATCTCTGTGGTTAAAACCATCAGAGTAGAGATGGCATTTGGGGAGAGAATCTAGAGGCAGTGGAGAACAAAAGAATGGAATGGAATGACCACTCATATATTAATAGGTGATAGGGCTCCTAATTCAGCTGTAAAGTTTATGAAGGAACCCTGGTGGCCTAGTGGTTACGCGTTGGGCTAACTACAAGGTCAGCAATTTGAAACTACCAGCTGCCCCTCTGGAGAAAATTGAGGCTCTCGATGAAATTTTGGGACTTTTGTAAAAATACATGTCCGCCAGGAAGTTAGCATCTTTTCTCTTTATATATATATATAATTTAGACAGTCCCATAAAATGTCATTTTGAGTTTAAGGTTAACACAGTTCTCTGGACCCGCATCATTGGGCCAGTCCCCCTGCGGGGCAGGAGACAGTCCTGGGAATTCTGGCGGGGGAGCCGAGGGACATGGAGGTCCCCAGAACAAGAACGGGGTGCCATCAAGGACTAAAGCCATCCAGGGAGAGAGGGACTGTGGATCAGGGTGGTTGCCGGCCAATCTTGTACCAGACTGTGTTCTCTCCCAGCTGTTAGGACCTGCTAGCCAGTGCCTGTTGTTGAGAAAATAAAACTTGGGGAAACGCTCATCAGGCACCGGAGAGACTGGTTTTGTCCTAGATAAGAAAAAGGCTGCAGAGGGGCAGGCAGCCTCAGCCGGTCTCTGTGCGGGTCCTGGATGTGATGTGTTAGCATCTAGAATGTATAATTTTGGTTCTGAGTGTTGTAGGAGAAGGCCACAGAACAGCTACTAATAGGATGAAGGAGTAGGTGGAGTTGCCATATGAAGGCACGTTAAAATAATTAGGACTCGTTGGGCTTGAAAAGACTGAGAGGAAATATGACTAGAGTTAATAAATCCGTGAAGAATATGGATTAGACGATCATAGAGTTGTTAGCCAGGACTTCTGAAAACAACTGAGGAAAATCTAATTGAGGACCAAAAAAGGCCCTCTCCTCCTGAGAAAGGAGATCCTGCAGATTAAATCCCTTTGAGGGAGCGGTGGGGGGAACTGGAGTAACTTGTGGCACTGAAACGACTAAGTGAAGGGTTTCTCTTATTGTGGCTTGGTTTTCTTGAAGCCCAGGGGCCCCACGCAGACAGCACAGAGCTCCAGCTTCCGTTAGCCTGGGCACTTGGGTTTTTCTTAAGTCAGTGGTTCTCAACCTTCCTAATGACATGACCCTTTAATACATTTCTTCATGTTGTGGTGACCCCCCCAACCATAAGATTATTTTCATTGCTACTTCATAATCGTCATTTTGCTGTGTTACGAATCAGGCGACCCTTGTGAGAGGGGTTAAGAATCTCTGTCTTAGGTGAGATGTAAATATCATTCATTCTTCATTCAACAGTTATTGAGAATAAACTCTATGCTAGGTTCCCCACTAGGATCTGGAGATTCTATGATGAAGCTAGACAGACATGAACTCCGCAGGCTGGTGGCGAATAAGAAACTAATTCTAAGTGCTGAGTTCACACAAGTTCCGAGAGAAGCTGCACAGAAGTGCTAACCTTGGTCTCAGGATCAGAGCCCTGGAGAAGGGTGCTTCAGCTGAGAGCTGATGAGAGGTTGGGTAAGCCAAGAGCTGGAGGAAGAGGAAACTGCATATGCACAAATGTCTTGAGGTGGGAGAGGGTCAGTGTGGCTGGAGTGTGGGGGTAGAGAGGGACAAAATGTGGGAGAGTGATGGGAGATAAGGCTGGAGAGAGCAGTGGAGATCGTGGATGGCCTATAATCTCATGATGAGGGTTTGGCCCAAGAGCAGTGGTACGTCCTGAGGGAACCGAAGCAGAGAAGTGCAGATGCCTCTTTTATAGGTGGTCACAGTGGCTGCAGTGTGGGGAATAGAGAAGGAGAAAACAAGTGTCCTGGGGCCAGTTGGGAGAATGTGACGTTGTCTAGGTCAGGGTAGTTGGGGTTGGAGAGAGAGACAGGGTCTATAGCTACTGCACAGAGGGCATGGCCCAGGCTTGTTGGCTGACTGGGTCTGAAAGGAGAGAGAAAGAAATGACGGAGCTTGATTTATTAGACCACGACAGCCAATATGACCTCAGATTTTATCCCAGTGAGCAGAATCTCTTCTCTTATGATCTCTATACGTCCCAGAAGTTTCTTCCTTTATAGCATAGTCTCCCCCCACACCCCACTTCTCTGGTTGAGTTGCATTTTATTCGTTTGCCTTATTTAGTCATTTTGAACGTGGAACGCATCACTTTTTCTTTGAGCCTTAAGGTGTCCTGAGACTTTAGGGGAGAGCAGGCCGGTTGCTTTGCAGCACGCTTCTCACGATGCTTTTGTCGGATGCTTCCTCTTCCGTAGGTTCAGCCGTGCGTTTTTGAGTAGGGTGGCTCCCTGACAGCACCCCTAGCTGCGTGTCCGACTCAGTATGTGTTACATACCTGGAGTGGATCACCCCAATCACTTGGCTCAGGGGGTTCACGTCCTCCAGGAAGTCAGCATCTTTTCTCTTTATACTTTGTAAGGCATCTAGCGACTGACTACATATATTCCAATCATTCTAAATGTTCCTACGTTGTTGCTTCCACAGCCTCCTTCAAACGGCTTGGTTTTGCTTTTGTTTCTCGACAGTGTTTTAGAGCACTCTGCTGCAAGGGTCCACCACCTGCACGACCAGAGTATGACCTGGTTTGCATAGGCCTCACGGGGTCCGGCAAGACCAGCCTGCTGTCAAAGCTGTGCAGCGAAAGTCCCGACAGCGTAGTGTCGACGACAGGTGGGTACTGTGCCAGGCGCCTGTCCCTGTCTCTTTCTCGTCCCCAAGAGGGTCTCGTGTCTTATGCTGTTCGGGTGATTTCTGACCTCCTTCCGTGTCCCTCCTTCCACCCCGTATCCTTCCCTCTCCACCTATTTTTGGTGTCAATCGTTTGTTGTTGTTTTTTAATTGTTGTAAAATTGTATTTTCAATACCATATTTTCTTTTAGTCACCATAGTTTATTTTTATTCCAAATAGCATATTTTGTTTGAAACAAAAGACATTCCAAGATGGTAGAGTAGCATGGAGTTGTTGCCTTCCATATCTTCCTATTTCAGTGCCCCTAAGGACATCCATCTCAGAAAACGGTGAAAACTCACCACGTCTGTGTTGCCGTGACAGAATGGGTCCGTCCCAGGCCCATGCAGTGACCTTGTTTTTTGACGTGTCACTCTAGCATGCTTTAGCTGGTCTCGTGCTTTCTGCACAGGACCAGCGGTAGAGCCCTCATCTTCTTCTTCTCGCCGGCATTGTGCCCGTGGCTGGCAAAGGAAGGTCAGTCTCAAGCAAACATTTTCGTTCAGGTAGAGATTTGTTCCTCTGTGAACATTTGGCAATACCTGGAGACATTTTAGTTATCACAACCAGGGGGAAAATTACTAACTTACTGCCAAAATTCTACAATGCCCAAGACAGCCTGCTCAACAGGAACTGATTTCGCCCAAAATGTCACTAGTTGTGAAATGCTGGTATGGGCCTTTTGCCCTCAAATACTTAGTCTTTTTCTTCCAGGATTGAAGCGGGCAAGCAGAGAACAAGTTAGAGAAAATAAGGTAGAATGGTTGTAGGTGGTAAACAGAGCCTCCATGGCAAGGCAGGGAATGAAGAAGGGGTGGGGTAAGATATCGTCTGGGGAAATTGAAAAGAATTACAGAAAACAAAAATTTGTAGTGCCCAACAAGATAAAATTCACAAGATCTGGGATTCAACCAAGGATTCTAGGCATGTGGAAGAGGCAAGAGAACATGATTGCATAATGAGGAGATTAATAAAGCAATCAACACTGATTTAGAACTGACAAAACTTCTGGAATAAACAGAGAAATTCATTAAAACAATTTTTATAACTGTAACTGGAGTCTATATAGTCAAACAGCTGAGTAGAGACATGGAAGTTATTTTGTAAAAAAAAAAGATTGCCATGAATCTGCTAGATGTGAACATGACAGTCTCTGAATTGATATACATATGCACTGATGGGATTAATGACGAATTAAACATTGCAAAAGAAAGATTCATGGATACCGGGGATGAAGATGTTCATTTCATGATGGTGAAGGGATGAGTCATTTAAGAGTACATAGCAACCTCAAGCATTTATGTCCCTTATAGCTGACCCACCAAATAGATGAAGCAAAAACTGGTAGAACAACATGGAGAAATAGAGGAACCAGCAATTATAGTCAGAAATGTCAATAACATCTCTCATTAATTGATAGAATAAGTAAAAAGAAGGTCAGCAAGGCTGTAGAATTAAACAACACTATCAACCAACCTGTCTGATTGACATTCATAGAGCTCTCTACCCGACAATAACAGAGCACATTCTTAGAAAGTGCGCATGGAATGTTGACCAAGGCAGACCATCTTGTATGACAAAAAAGACAGGCTGGTAAATTTAAAAGGACTCAAGTATGTTCTAAGTATGTTCTGAGACCACGATGGAATTCATTTATAAATTAGTATCAGAAAGATCTCTGATAAACATTAAATAAATACTGTTTCTTCCCCCACGAAAAAAGAAAGTTCTCTGGAAAAATCTCTAAGTGTCTGGAAACTAAAGTATATACTTCCACATACCCCATGGAACCAAGGATATTATCATAAAGTATTTTTTTAACAGCTAACTGACTTTAATATTCTAGGTTAAAAGCACTACTTTAGGCGCTCTGTTTGCCCTCCGTGTCTCAGGTGCATTCTTAAGGAACTGAGAACTTAAATCTTCCAAAATGTCCCACCCCGCCTCCTACCCCAGCTCCTGCAACACAAATGCCCAACACCTCGGGCTTGTGGGTTTCAGTCCATACAGCCATCTCACCTCCACTGATTACAGGCTGGGAGCGAACCTCTGACATTATGATTCCCAAAGCCCAAAGGCACCAGGCAAGCTGCGGATGTCCAACAGCAGAAAAGTCAGGGCTTCCACCCCTGACCTAAAGTTGTGAGAGATCGGTACGATTATTGGGGGCATGTGGCGAGATCTCATGGACGAAGAAAAAGGCAAATAGTTAAATGAGTACGAAGCAGAAATGATCGAGAACAACGAATCTATGAAGGCCTGGCATCCATTGATGCAGAAAGCCGCGCGGAAGCCACTTCAGAGGAGCAGAGTCCACAGAGATGGCCTCGCCTGGAGGAAGAAAACCTTCCCTGAGCATTCAGCCTGCTGAAGACCCCGATGATGAGGATGATGGCTTTTCAGGGAAGCATAGCGCTACCACCCGTTGCATCAGGGGAATCCTCTGAGAGCGTGGTCATGAGAGCTGGACTGCAGGTCCTCAGACGACAGGCCCAGCCCTTCTTGGGCTCATCAGAGAAAGCTTGAAGCTGAACTTCGTCCATTAGAGGAGCGACACCAGGGGAACAAAAGAGGAAATTCCTGGGAAGCACAGATTCGCTTAACAAGGAGCCAAAAAGGCTGTGCGATGCGAAGGTCGAAGTGCACGTGGGCAGGCTGGCAGGAGGCAGGAGAAAGGGGGACCAGCCCAGAGCCGGCGCGGCGCGGCGCGAGCAGTGTTGTCCCCCCGGAAGAAGCAGTGGTGAAGCGAACAAGGCTGAGGAGAAGAAGGTAGGCAAGAACATGCCGGTGGGGACAGGGAGACCCGTCTGGAGGAGCCCGCAGAAAGCCCACAGATGGGGAGGATGAGTAGAGCAGGCAGGAGGGCGAGGACCGTCCGGCAGAGTGGGGACCAGGGACAGAAACACCGGCCCGAGAGCATCAGCCCAAGGGCGGAGGGGCTCCCAACAGAGCCCGTACTCAAAGATGAGAAAAGAGACTAAATGTTGCCTTGTTCTGTGTTTCCAATACCTTTTTTTAATGAAATAATGTGGTGGTTTTGTTTTTTTTTCAGTTTAAAAATAGAACACTACTTCAGAGAAAACTTGTTATGTATCGTTCAATTTGATAAGCCTTTTATACACTAGGACCTTTCATCTCGATTATGGCTCAGTCTGTGCTGTTTAATTCGAGCAACGTAAACACTTTAATTACATAATGTGGACTCCCTAATGCCCTTTGGCAATTCAAACTTCCCATCTAGCAATAGTCAACTATGACTTGGTTTCCCAGAATTACCTGCGATATTTTCTCATTTTTCCTTAGCCTCACATACATAAAGTATCTTGAGCTGAGTGAAAAGGAAAACATCTCAGAATTTGCAGAGATTTATAGCACTGAATCTCAGAGATTTATAACACTGAATGCTTGATTAGAAAAGAAGAGCCTCGATTGCACGACACCAACTTCCACTGGAGGATCAGAGAAACCAAAGTAACAAAAAAGCCAATAACAGGATCAAAGTCAAAATAAACAAAGCGGAATCTGAAAAATAGCGACAATTCCTGGAAACCCAAAGCTGCTTCTTTGGAAACGAAATGTCTGTAAACAAATGAATGGACAAAAGTGTGTTATATACCCTCACACATGCAGTGGAACATTACTCAACCACAAAGAGAAACGAACTCCGTGCTACAACATGGCTAAACTTTGAAAACAGTATGCTAAGCGAGGTAAATCAAAAGGACAGACGGTGTATGATTTAACTTATATGGAATATCAAAAAATAGGCAAATTTTTAGAGACCAAAGTTTATTAGTAGTTATCAACAGCAAGGGGGACAGAGATTCACTGTTTAGGAAACACAGAGTTTCTGTTTATAGTGATGGGAAATTTGGCAGTGAATATTGGTGATGGATACATAACATTAATGTGGTTGATGTTACTAAATTTTATGCATGAAAAATGTTGGCAAATACTATATTTTGTAAGCAGTAAAAGAACTTAATTCCTTAGGAAGATCAATAAAATTGATAAAACTCTAGCCAAAGTGATCAGGGAGAAATGAAAGCAGAAACAAATGACCAATATCAAGAATGTGAAAGAAGACAAATAATAATCCTCTAAGTATCTTAAAAATAAGACAATATTAGGAACAACTTTATGCCAATAAATTAAATAACTTTGATGAGAGGGACAAATATCTTGAAAGGTCTAAACTGCCAAACCTCACTCAAGAATTATAGACTACAGGATAGACTTATATCCATTAAAGACATTGATGTTGTACTTAAAAGCCTTAGCCACTAACACCTATTAAAGAAATTAAACTGTCCTTCAAAACCTTTCAAAGAAAAGCTCCAAGTACATATGGCTTCACAGGCTAGATTTTTATTAAAATTTTTTCTAGGATCCTAAAATCATTAAGACAGTAATCTCAGATATATCTAATATTTTTCAGAAAATTTAAGAGCAAGGAACAGTTCCCAATACTTCCTTTACAACAAGCGTCATCTTGATAGTCAAACTAGATAAAGATATTACAAGAGAACTGTGTACCAATAGCTCATGTATATATGTCCAAGAGTTCTAGATCAAAAAAATCCATCAAATGAAACCCAACAATATATTAATAGGATCCCTGGTGGCATAGTGGGTTATGCGTTGGGTGCTCACTACAGGTTCATCAGTTCAAAATTAACAGCTGCTGTAAGGGAGATTGAGGAAGCTTTCTTTTCCTATGAAGAGTTGCAGACTCAAAACCCCACAGGGGCAAGTTCTACCCTGATAATATATTATGACGAAGGAATTTCATACTAAGAATGCTGAGTTGATGTAATGGTGTTATTGTGGCCATCATCCCCAAATGTCTTTCTCAAATCTGTAATTAGTTAAGAATCTTGATGGTGAAATCATCTGGATTAGGGTATAGACCCTAATTCCAGTAACTGCTGCCCTTTTGAGA